GTTTGTAAAATGTATTATATTAAAATATTTAAATATTGCGGTAGTACATAACGTAATGTCTTCCGTTTACGTCAGCGCCACCTATTGAAAATCTGTGACCAAATTTTATGGATTATACATAACCAAAATTCGAGTATACTTTTTCTATTGTGATCTGTCGAAAAGTATTGTGATTAGTTTCTTAGTTATTTTATTAAAGAAATTTACTTAAAAATGGTAATTATTCAATCTACCTTCGTTTTGAGGCCAGAATTAAGTTAATAGTATTTGAAATGGTAAAATTATATGTATAAAAATAATTAAATCTTTTAGATGCAGTTTATGTTGTTATTCAGTCGTCAAGGAAAATTGCGTTTGCAAAAGTGGTACGTGGCTCATCCTGATAAGTTAAAGAAAAAAATTACGCGAGAACTAATTACTACAATATTGGCACGAAAGCCTAAAATGTCAAGTTTCTTAGAATGGAAGGATGTTAAAGTTGTTTATAAAAGGTATAGTATTATTACACCACTTTTTTACTAACAATGATTCTTTGTTATTTAATAAAGCTTTTGTTTTATTTGTATATAGTATTTGATTAATATTTCTATTATTTTCTTTCACAGATATGCAAGTTTATATTTCTGTTGTGCAATTGAACAACATGATAATGAATTATTGACACTAGAAATCATACATCGCTATGTTGAATTATTGGATAAATATTTTGGAAGTGTAAGTATGAGTTTAGTTGTTTCTTTGTTATTATGTAGTATAATTAAGTTTTATTTAAGTGCAAAATTAAATTGTTGGAACTTTTACCATATTTTACTCAAAATTTATAATTATAGGTTGTATATGTACAATTATACACTTTAATATACAAATTTGTAAATAAAGTGATGTCCGTTTTTTTTTTTATTTGCATAGAATGCATTTTTCTATTATTAATTTTTAATATGTTATTAGGTTTGTGAACTAGATATAATTTTCAACTTTGAAAAAGCATACTTCATCTTAGACGAATTATTGGTTGGTGGTGAAATTCAAGAGACTAGCAAAAAGAATGTTCTAAAAGCCATTGCTGCTCAGGATTTACTACAGGAGGTTAGTTATGGGGATGTACCTATTGAGTTGTAACTTGTCCTTTTACTGATACTATAATTTTTCTTTATTATTTTCTAGTAATATCACAGAATCGTTTTAATATATGGAAATAACCATATTATTGACTTTCAATTTTAAGAAAGTCCATAATATGTTTTGTTGTTTTTATTGTATTTCTCTCATATTTACTATATATTAGTACACAGAAGTTTGTTAAAACGATTCCTTTAATATACTTAATGATCAATAGTTGGTGTGTAACATCCTTATAAAAATAATCAAATCCTATACTGATCAAGAGGTATATATAAAAAATATTAAAACCTCTTGGATGATGTATATGTGTGGCATGTTTGTAGCCTGTTTATTCTGGGTAAAATGATGTGGTGATATGAAAATGTCTTTTATATTAAATTATTTCATTAAGTATAATAGATAATAATACATTATTATA